TGATATCCTTCTCCAGCAACTGGTCCCTCCTGACAATATGTCTGAAGTATGAAAGATGACATCTGGCCATCCTGGCCTCTAAGGAGCACTCTGGTTGTACTTCTTTCAACACAGATCTATTCTTTTGGCAGTCCATGGTACTTTCAATATTATCCTCCAACACCATAACTCAAATTCATCAATTCTTCTATGGTCTTCCTTATCACTATCCAACTTGCACATGCATATGAGGTCATTGAAAATACCGTGACACCTTAGTCCTCAAACTGACATCTTTGCTCTTCAACATTTTAAAGAGGTCTTGTGCAGCAGATTTGCCCAATGCAATAAGCTATTTTATTTCCTCACTGCTGGTTCCATGAGTGTTGATGGTTGATCCAAGCAAAATTAAGTCCTTGACAACTTCAGTCTTCTCCATTTAGTATGATGTTATTTATTGGTCCAGGATGAGGATTTTTGTTTTGTTTACATTGAGATGTAACCCACACCGAAGGCTGTGGTCTTTGATCTTTATCAGTAAGTATTTTAAATCTTCTTGGCTTTAAGCAAGCAAGGTTGTATCATCTGCATATTGCAGGTTATTAATGAGCCTTCCTTCAATCCTGATGCCACATTTTTCTTCATATAACTCAGCTTCTCAGATTATTTTTTCAGCATACAGAATAAATAAGTGTGGTGAAGGAATACAACCCTGTTGCACACCTTTCCTAATTTCAACCAATTCGGTGACCCTGTTCTATTCAAACAGCTACATCTTGGTCTATGTACAGGTTCATCATGAACACAATTAAGTGTCCCAGAATATTCATACTTCACAATGTTGTCTTTAGCATGTCATGATACACACAATCAAGAATCTTTGTATAGTCAATAAAGCAGAGGTAAACATCTTTCTGGTATTCTCTGCTTTCAGTCAAGATCCATCTGATGTCAGCAATGATATCACTCATTCCATGTCCTCTTCTGAAACTGATTTGAATCTCTGGAAGTTCTCTGTCAAGGTATGGTTGCAGCCATTTTTGTATTACCTTTAGTAAAAGTTTACTTGCGTGTTATAGCAATGCTGTCTAATGATTTCGGCATTCCATTGGTTCACCTCTCTTTGGAATGGGCACAAATATAGATCTCTTCCAGTCAGTTGGTCATGTAGTTATCTTCCAAACTTCCTGGCATAGATGAGTGAGTACCTTAAGTGCTGCTTTACTTTGTTGGAAGATTTCAATTTTCACTCCATCAATTCCTGGTGCGTTGTTCTTTGCCAATTCCTTCAATGCACCTAGGACTTCTTACTTCAGGATCATTGACTGCTGATTATATGTTACCTTTTGAAATGATTGAACATAGACCTTTTCTTTTTGGTACAGTGATTCTGTGTATTCCTTTCATCTTCTTTTGATGCTTTCTTCATCATTCAGTTTTTTGCCCATAGAATGCTTCAATAATGCAAATTGAGGTTTGAATTTTTTCTTCAGTTCCTTCAGCTTGAGAAATGCTGAGCGTATTCTTCCCTTTTAGTTTCTAACTCCAGGTCTTTGCACATTTTGTTAAAATATTTGACTTTGTCTTCTTGAGCTGACCTTTGAAATTTTCTGTTCAGTTCTTGTATCTCCTCACTTCTTCCATTTACTGTAGCATCTCTACTCTGGAGAGCAAGTTTCAGAGTCTCTTCTGACATCCATTTTGATCTTTTCCTTGTCTCTTGTCTTCTCAATGTCCTTTTGCTTTCTTCCTCTATGATGTTCTTGATGTCATCACACAATTCTTCTGGTTTCGGTCTTTAGTGTTTAATGCATCAAATCTGTTCTTCAGATGATCTCTAAATTTAGGTGGGATATATTCAAAATCATATTTTGACTCTCATAGACTTGTTTAAGTTTGCTTTGCTTCATCCTGTATTTTCATATGAGCAATTGTTGATCTGTTTCACAGTCTGCCCCTGGCTTTGTCTTAGCTGATGATATGGAGCTTTTCCATCATCTCTTTCAAGAGATATAGTCAATTTGATTTCTGTGTATTCCATCTTGTGGGATCCATGTATATAGTCATCTTTTATGCTGTTTAAAAAAGGTGTTTGCAATGAAGAAGCCATTGGTCTTGCAAAATTCTATCATGTGATCTCCACCATTGTTTCTATCACCAAGGCCATATTTTCCAACTACTGTTCCTTCCTCTTTGTTTCTAATCTTTGCATTCTAATTGCCGATAATGATCAATACATCTTGATTGCATGCTTGATCAATTTTAAACTTAAGAAGTTGGT